AAATGAAATGAAAAGGCGGATGAGTTAACCGGACAAGGTGGGGCCAATCCCTTTATTATTTTATTCTCCAGAGCATTTCTGGATAAAAAAATCGTGGAACAGCCTGAGAGGGCAAAGGCAGAGGAATGAGTCTGCATTCAGAGAGGACCTGTTCGAATTTTATAGGATTGCCATAAGAGCCATCAGCATTCCTGATTCAAGTTGTGAGTACGTACATACTCTGTAGACTAATACAACTTGTGTAACGTGTTGCTAATTGCTCCTGAATTCAGTGCATAAACCATGTAAAATGTTATCTTCTACTCGTATCACATAGTACATTCCCTTGTTACCGTACAAATACGTCGTGAATGTGAACTGAATTAGATCTCATCAAGATATCAACTTTGTCGTACAACTCGTTACTAGCAGATTAGTATCAGATGACGTGCACAAGTTCTTCACCAAGAGTCAACCTGCCACAGAGATGCATGCGTCTTATCCTAGATGCTTGTCAGTGCAAATTGTCGACCGACAAAGGGCACCAGTTAATTGAAGTATTTCAATGATACGAACGATACATAGTATATGTCTTATCTCGGTTTTTAGTAGATTCTTTATCATCAAAACGTAACCTGTCTTCAGAAAGGACAACATATAAATAACCCGTCGCGCACAGCTAATAGATATATTTCATTGGCAGTATATTCAGTAATGATTTTCTCACGCAGCAAATATCACAGATTTTATACACATGCAGACCAATACACAAAATCGACATAACCATCCAGATGCCATCTTGCTATTCAACCAACTTTCTTCTCAGAGATGAAAACTACAGACTACTCGGCTTCACAGAACATATGCAACCAACAATCCGTGTAGTTGAGCCATTCCTTCATAGATGAACGCTAACGACGATCCTAGTGAGCAAACATGGAATTACTGTTTGCATCCTAAAAACTACCTAGTCTGCAACATGACATTTTAAAGGTTTTTTTTTGACGTTTTATAGGTTTTTTACAAAATACCCGTGCCGATCGGCTAACTGTACCCTTGTGCGAAACTTGCTTTCGTAGCGGAAGTTGAACACTGTGCAAACCAATCCAAAAGACATTCGCTCTTGCACACACGAATTACGTGTAACTATTAACAATGACACTTGATAACCAAAAAGCAGTAGCTCTCATACTTCTTGACTTTACTAAGGCATTTGACACCATTAATCACTCACTTCTTGTATCTAAATGCAGTTACTATGGATTTTCTGAAAAACCTCTTTCGTTTATTCAAACCTACCTTGAAAATCGGTATCAAAAAGTTCGTCTAAATCAACAGTACTCTAAGGAACAAAAAATTTGTTCTGGTGTACCACAGGAATCAGTCTTAGGACCGCTATTATTTTCATTATATATCTCAGATTTAGAAACAGAGGTAAAATCATGCAGCATACAATTTTTTGCAGATGATACTCAAATTTTCTATTCATTTAGGAGTAATGACTTGCAAACGGCAAATAATAAAATTAATCACGATCTTGTCCAAATTGAAAAGTTCAGTAGTAGTCATAATCTTCGTTTGAACCCTTTGAAGACAAATATGTTAGTATACGCAAATAGAACAAAAAAGAATACCTTAAAAAAGGACATAGACATACATTTAAAAGGTAATAAATTAATTCCTGTGGATCATTCGAAAAACCTAGGTATTATAATGGATGATGACTTAAAATTTGTTGCACACGTGAACTATCTAATTACTCAGTGCTACGCTATTCTCAGAGTTTTATTTGCAAATAAGGCTATATTACATAAATCTGCGAGAAAGCAATTGTGTGAATATTTCGTATTTTCGAAGATATCGTATTGCTTAGTGGTTTACTATCCCTATTTAGATATTATAACAAGAAATCGTATTCAAAGTATTATGAATACATGTTGCAGGCTTGTAAATGATCTCAGAAAATATGATCATATATCGAATGCCATTAATGAACTCGAATGGATGAACATTGATAAAATGTATAAGTACCAGCTCCTAAATCTGACTCATAAGATTCTTTATTCAAAAACACCGTCATATTTAGTAAACAAATTCATACGTAGAGGGAATATGCATCGTATTAATATTAGATATAGAGATACTTTTTCAATTCCACGCCACAGCACTTCTCTATTTCAGAATTCATACATTTACAATGCGATCAAATCATATAATTCTTTAGACCGCAGTTTAAAAGAAACCAATCCATTATCCAAATTCAAGAAAAAAGTGAAAGAAGTTCTTCTTGATCAGCAGCGAAATCGGTTGTAACCCATAAGTGTCCTCATATTTTCCTTATGTATCTACTTGGACTATTTTATTATTGTATACAGGTGCCTATTAATTTTCAAAAAATTCTTTTTTTTTACATCTCGTATTGTTAAGGGGGTTAGATGGTAGAATAGATATATAATCTAAATCTCGCCTCCTGTAAGAATATTGCAAATAAAAGACGTTAATTATTATTATTATTATTATTATTTCATTGCTTTCATTGACTTTGTAAAAATATCAAATAAACCTAGCAAAATCTGTAGATATTATTTACTGGTTACACTTTCGGACACTGTTTTATATTGCAAATATGAGCAAAACTTAGTTAAATCGCATGCCCATGACAATTGGGATGTCACACTGACATTGACAAGCATAGGCGAGGAACACTCTTACGTTGGCGAGAAATATTTATAGGTGGTGAGAACAATCTGAAGAACTTATTTTTGTTGCGCCCAGAAGCAGATTGCATGTGTATCTGCGAGGGAAATGGAAGTATGAAGGTGATACCCGTAATTTTACCGTTATCCACCAAATAAACAGCTAAATTTTGAGCCTCCATTTCAATATCACTTTGAGTTAACTTTAAATCATCTTTGATGGAATGTGTTTCCCACATTATATGAGTTTTTTCTAAAACATTGGTCAGACGTTCAAGTGGGTTTCTTTGAAGGACTGTTCCTTGAAAATTTCAAGAAATTCTAAAATTTTATTTGGTATGTATCCTCGCAAACGGAGAGGTTCCCAAAATCATCAAAGAGTAGTTAAAAAACAGAATTTTGCCCCATGCTTTGAAACCGACTTATATACTTGTTTACTTGATGGCATGTGAGTTTTGCAGCCTCCATTTATATAGTGTCACAGAGAAGCTTTACGATTAAATTAAAAAAAGGTAATATTTTTATTGAAAATATATCTCCAGAAATTATGAATTCAATTTTTGAGTACAGCAATATCTAGGTTTCCTCCACTCATGCAATTTGTCAGTAACATTTAAACCTGATAATTTTATCCTACAGCAGCGGCACAGCTTTTACCCAAACAGCTCACAAAGTTGATCCAGTGTGACAAGAGCTGAAACTAAACTGTACGTTTTACCATGCTGGGACATATAATAATTGTAACATATACCGTTGCAGCTCTCGCAGTTTCAAAGAAATGATTATTCGCCGCAGTAATATTGCATGGGCACTACGATCTCCAGATTTGACTTCCACAGAATTTTTCCTCTGGGATGACGTAATATTTATGTAATGAAGACCGCATTCCTGGAGATTAATTTAGCCCTAAGGTGTGTGATATTTTTCAAATTTAGTTTGGAAATGCTGAATCAGGCTGTGATTAAACGTGTTTTGACCACTTTGTGACGTCACAAATACAGAAAACATTAGCATCAGCAAACAAAAAGACCTAAAGGGTCCCTCACCCTCCTACGTTGTCATGCTTATATATGAAAGTCACATATCCAAATATTAATAATTGAAGTGGTCGCTCATTTTGGAGTATTCTGAATAGTCTATTTTATTATAAATTCATAATTACCCAAGTTGCGTTACAATATTCACAATGCATATCCATATCCATTTAAATTTAAATGCAGAATATTGTATGCAATGCAGCTTTTCAGCTATGGTATATTAATGTTTCAGCTTTGCATTATATTGTTTCAAGTATCATATACCCATATATGAACGGTTATTTGAAAATTAACAAAATTCGATAGGTAGTTCGCGAATGATCGAAACATCTACAGGGCGATTCAAGAAACTGTGGCAATTTTTTTACCTAATCTGAATCGATCTGTACGACACTGAGATCGCGGAAAGCCATCATTACAATTTTAAGTAAAACCAGTGAAGTCCATCCGCATGGGGTAGGCACTGCCGGTTGCAAAAGACGCTTTCTCGTAGGACGTTGACGTTTTTGGGACGATGTGCGAGGGTGACTTTCTTGGTACATCCAAGACAACATATAACCTCATGCCCGCTTGTCACTTTGATCACATATTTATGCTCCGGTCAGAGCCTTGAAAAATCCATATGTGTGATAATGTTCGCCGTAGACATTTACCGTGCACCATCCTGACTTTAACGACAAAACGTGAGTAAATTTACGTGGTACGTTGGCTAAATAATAATGCGTCCCTCGGTCTTGCAATAATATACATGTATATAATTCAGCTCCAGGGTCTCTAAACGACACATGCGCAATACGAAATTTCGGACAAGTCGCTGACAAATGACACTACTTTGTTCAGAAGTGCTCTAGAAATATTAACTTTTTTAGTCCCTCTGTAAAATTCTATTGCTATTATATGGGTTGCATTAGCATTATGAGCTTTTCTAATTAATGTTTTGAATATTATGCAACGTTACTTTTTGGCTGAAAGCCATTGTTTGTTCAATCCGTGTTCTGTAATTAAAAGTGTCTGTGTGTGCAAATTATTTAGCTGTATAAGCGGTTTTATATTTTGAGCCGAAACCAATTAACAACTAATTAACAGTTATGTCTGAAATAACGAAATGAGTACCAAATATAATGAGGTGGATGCCAAAAATTTAGATTCTCCTGGATAGGAAAGTTGTCTAATACTACGTTTTGGCCATTGAGGTGATACCTTTCGATCTTTTAACAACGTATTTTTTAATCTCCTGTCTGCATTCTGAAGATTACTGCTATTTTGAGAAAAAAATTACTTTTTTCAGATACTGCGTGGAGTTTGAAGTACTGAAAGCTTCCAAGGCCTGCAGAAAGGAAGACAACTACAAAACGTTGAAAGAAGGTAAGTTACTCTTTTACGATAACAGGTCAAACCAAAATTGTTGAAACTCTTTCGATAAATACCGGGTGTTCCAAATTCGACTCTCACGATTGTCATATCGAAAACTGCAAGTGATACGAACTCGGTTAAACGAGGACAAAGCTACGGATTTACGCAACTAAGAAAATGATACTTCCTAGTATTTCCTGAGACTAATGGAAGAAACCGAATTTACCCATCGGCAACAAATTTTTACCTGAAAGGCTGAGAAGATGTCAATGATGCTTCGGCATTATAACAATTGCAATTACCAAGGCAATATAATGTATTGAATATAGAAAACCAAATTAAAGCTGCAGTTATTCAGGCGAGAAGTAACGAATAGGCTTTCACCAGTTTTATGCGAATACAAAGATGTTTTGTGAAATAAAGAATCTCTACTTTGGCGTACGAAATACGTCCTCGATTATTAAAGAAAAATAATCTCAAAACACTTTTTTCCAGTCATATTTATTATATCACATGACATGGTTTCCACAGACGACCAATAGTAAACCTACCAGAACGTAAGATCCAGATACTATATATAGGGTGCTCCTTAATGATATGCGAATATTTAAGGGTGTGAATCGACATGAAAAATTAATGTTAGTTTGCTTTATAAACTATGTCCCAAAAATGTTACCGTACAAAAACTCGTGGTGTTGAAGTTTTAGAAAAAAATGGAAATTAACTAATATTTTCAGAACCGCTTCAGATATTTCACTGATATTTAGTACGTAGTGGAAGTTAATAAAGTTGCATATTTTTCAATGCAAAAATAATTATTAGCTTCAACAGTGGCGTGCGTACGTGTATTGACGATATTTTTTAAGAAAAAAATGGTACGTCAATGGTTTTTTGCCAAATAAAAAATATTTTTGAATTCCCCGTTCAATTTAAAACAAATGATCTCTCGAAATGTTTTTCTTCGATGAGCCATTTTTGAGTAACAAAATAAAAATCGTTCTATTGTCTAACTTGCATAATTATTATTAATTTAATTGGAAACATTGAACATATTAGGGGTAATGAACAACCACAACTGAAAAAATAAACATAACATTAAAACCAACGAAATGATTACAAAAATGTTGAAAATGGCCCCCTTCACTTAGTATGCATGCTTCCGCCCTCCTTCTCATGGAATTGCGCACTCGTTGAAATATCCCTCGAGTCTTCTTTATTCTATCACAAGCTGCAACTATTCTTTCTCTTAATTCCTCTACAGTGTTAATGGGTCTTGTGTACACTAGTGTCTTAAGATAGCCCCACAAAAAGAAATCTAAACTGTTGAGGTCTGTGGACCTGGGTGGCCATTCTTGGGGCCCACCGCGGCCAATCCAACGATTTGGATAAACAGCTTTTAAATAATTACGAACCGCTACACAGAAATGTGCTGGTGCATCATCATGTATGTACCACATATTGTTCCTTATTTCTAACGGAACATCATTAAGCAGCAAAGGCAACTGCTGTTGAAGAAAATTGAGGTAAGTCTGTCCGTCAAGTCGTCCCGGCAAGAGGAATGGGCCAATAAAGTGGTTGCCGATAATTCCTGCCCATACGTTAACCGAAAATTGGTGTTTTAAATGGATTTCGGTTACGGCATAGGGATTTTCTTCTGCCCACAAATGATTATTGTGGGAATTCTGAATAGCATTTCGAGAAAAATTCGCTTCCTCCGTGAACAGAATCATTGATTCAAATTGCGGATTTTGTGTAATTTTTTGAAGATACCACTGACAAAAGGTCACACGCCTTGGAAAATATGGTAAGGATATAACAAAAAATCCACTAAAATTCTCCAAACAATTTGATGGCAAATATTTAAGTGTCTAGCGATCTTCCTCGTACTCGTTTCAGGATGTTCTTCGACTTTGCGCAGCACTGCTTCCTCAATTTCAGGTGTTCTCACACTTAGAGGTCTACCTTCAAATATTTCTTTTCGGACAGAACCAGTTTCAATGAAATGACGATGAATATTAGAAAAGGGTCGACTATCTGGCAAAACACGATCGGGATATCTCTGGTGATAAATCCGTCTGGCTTGCTCACCATTACCGTCGGCATATACGTAATGCATTTCCGCCATTTCTGCATTTAAATCATTATTAACAAGATTGTAAAAACTAAATAATGAAAAAGATGTCACAACGAACATATTTGAATGACAAGAGATTTGTGAGGTGTCAAAAGCCAGTGACATATTCCAGAGCAACTAGATATTTATTGCTCAATTGCATTCTTCAATTATTACATTAATTTTCTCGCACAAAAGAACGGTTTTTATTTTTTTACTCAAAAATGGCGAAGGGAAATAATTCAAAAAAGATTGTTTGTTTGAAATGGAACGGGGAATTCAAAAATAATTTTTATTTGGCAAAAAAACATTGGCGTACCATTTTTTTCTTAAAAAATATCGATGTCAATACCCTTACGCACGCCACTTTTAAAGCTAAAGATTACTTTTGCATTGAAAAATATGCGGCTTTATTAACTTTTACTACGTAACAGTGAAATATCTGAAGCGGTTCTGAAAATATTTTTTGTAAGGAAACATTTTTGGACCACAGTTTATAAAGCAAACTACATTAATTTTTCATGTAGATTCACACTCTTACATATTCGCATATCATTAAGAAACACCCTGTATACATCATGCGTATTCAAAGCCCGTCATTTTACCCTTTGCCAAAAAAACAATTATTTTTTTGATGTAACATCTGAAACTCATGGTATGGTTTACATGTCGATAATCCCCCATGCTTGTCTGGCCAATAAAACCACATGTCCTGGCATATATTCTTTACTTTGGTAAACGTTTTAATCTCAAACGCGATCTTCTTCAGTACTATGAGAGATAAATCAAATATAAGTGTACTGAAGAAGGTCTCCGTTGTCATTGAAACGTTTACAACACAACAAGAATATTTTTCAGTACCTACACGTGGTTTTATTGGCCAGACAATCATCAACACAGATTAATGGTGTTGGTCATTCTACTCTACGGTGTAGAAAATTTAATTCAGATAGTGAAGCATATACATAGTCCATTTGTACAAAATTGTATGGGACGTACAGTATCAATCGACTTGACGCAATTTTCTTACAGGTGAACACGTATGCGTCCGATGCGAATCTGAAGCTCTGCACGAGAACCTAGGCTGGCGATGCCAAGGTCACGGAGTAGAAGGTAGACCAACACGTTGGAGTGCCCTGTCAGCGCCCCATTGTCATGGAAAATGGGCACGCGTCCATCACGTCTCAGACGCTCAGTGCAGATGCCCACGTGGGTCACCCCAGTTTATATTCGTTTAGATTTAAAGCGTTGAGTTATGCTGTTTAGGCTAGGCGAAAACCTCGCATTCGTGGCAGACATTTCAGGAATCGATTTAACTTTCATAATTACGTTTTAATGATGCTCCTTAACTTGAGTCAAGGAGTTGCCAAGCATAACTTCAGCAAACAAAAAAAAACAGATTCTTGGGCTACGAACTTATTCTGATCAAAAAATTGACTTAAGTTCTAAGCTATGAAGTATGGAAAACTCCTGAAGATGGACTTTTTCGATGCTTGAAGACATGGTTAAAATGATTTATTTTGTATTCGCTTGCTGTCCTAATTAAAGTTCAAACCTTCCACCACAAGGTTCTGAAGAGTACTTTAGGCTTGGTTCGTGTAAAATGCTGATATTTAATTGCCAATAACGACTCGTCCACGCGGCTTCCGTACTCCAACCTTATAATTAGCAATTTTGTCCGAATCTGTAGGAATTGAAGAGGGCGATTTCTAGAATTTTATGACTTGAAATGGCTTGTACCTCTAAGCTGTCGATTCCAGAAAAAGTTACTGACCTTTTTTTCAAAATGATTCAATGAAAACTCGAAAAAAAATATCAGCATGTACCTACACAAATCGCTTAAAAAAATTTGCACCATGTTAAGAAGCATCTAACACTATGATTATGAAAAAAATCGAATTATAAAATGTCTCCCACAAATACGACGTTTTCGCATTGTCTAGTTACCAAAATGCCCAATAAATTCGGTATTTGAAAAGCAGATATGCTAATTGAGATAATGTACGGTGAAACATCACTGAAAAGTAATAACAGAAATTTGAAGGTACTCGTAGATTATTGGATAAAAATTTCAAGTATCGCGTTGTTTCTTGATGATGAAATACTATTCCAAGATATCGCTGTTGGTTTCAAAAACACTGTGTCCGTCTCGATGTCCCTGTAAACGGTCTGTCTCTAGCTTTTGAACGCATCATCATATCGAAAAACTCATAGTTTTCACGAGTGTATGCCGATTTTCAAATCCGTTATCTAATCAAAGAATTATGTTGGCTTCTGGGGTGCTGTGGTCTCTTAAACTACTCATGCGTTGGAGACAGCGCCGGACTAAGAATCGAGAATTTTCTTATATGTATATTATTCTTTAGTCTTTAGCGAGTATGTTACTACAAAAATTTGTTTTTTCACGATATGTATAATGGGAAGTCTCAACCTTAAGGAGACCCTATATGTGTCTTTGGAAGGATTCAATTCTCATCCGGAGGAGAAGCTAGCGTCAGGTGGAAGTGCTTGCCTCAAAAGGGGAGTTTATCTTAAAAATATGAAGAGATAAAGTATCTGAAACTAGTAAACAGCCATAGTTGTATACATACCTACATCATTAATACCACTTTTGAAAAGGTAGGTTCATATTATGTAGAATTGTCCGTAAGAATGCACAAAAGGACGTTCCTTGTTGAAACTCCTGAAATATTTGTTATTAAAGTGTTGCTCGTTAATGAGATACAGGATATTTAATTTTTTTCCCTATAGCTCGTCGCGATGTTTACTACGGCGTATTTGGCTCAGTACCATTATTTCCACGAATTTGGTCTGGGCTGTTGTACGGTACATCCAAATGGATATATTCTAATACCTAAAGCTGGATTCTTCAGGCGGGCTTGAAAGTTGTGTCCTTTCGAAAACACAGGATCGTCTTTGTTTAACTACGAATTTACATCGTCAACTTCAAATTTGTCCCGACTTCTGTTAAATAATCAACTCATCTCTAAGCATCAGGATACATTTTCTATAAATAGTCCAAAAAGTTACAAATACTAGTTAAAGAGTCATTTTTAATTTAGTATGAAGTATACTGGTATTGTACTCGTATATCCTTTCAATTCAGTTTCTATTTTATAAAATTCCAAGCCAAAAAAGGAACATGATGGTTGATCCAACCACAGCTGTTTACAATTCCCTACTTGTTTCGAATGCTGCTATTTTTTTGAGAAACAAAATATCAGCAATAGAAAGCTTTAGAATAGTTCTTAGTTCTCGCTCATATTTCAAACATCTTTTGTTCCAACAGCATTCATGAAAAATCTGAAACTTTGATTTCTATTGTATGATATTTATATCTACCAAGATCAATTTTCTCATTTAAGCTATGACTAAATTATTCTAGTGCTCTGGGAAAATATGAAAATGAACTATTTAGTTGACAATCTTACTAATACTGTGGTTCGTACTGATATCTAGACAAATGGGATATGAATCACATACTTACCGAAAATTACAAATGAATTCAACTATTCATTTTGGGAGTGATAAAAATTTCAAGTACGCTTTTGTTTTCATGTTCATTCGAGAAGTATTTCTCAACATTTCTCACCCAATAAAATATGTTCTGGTGAAATGTAACATATCGATAAAAAAAAATTTTTCAGACAAAACACTAAGTTACTTGAATATTGATCATAAGTATATTACACATTAGACTTTAAAGAAGTAACTGATTTTTATCTCTATATACTTTCCAAGAGGTCCCCCACGTATTCTGGAACAGGTCGAGTTGGCAAGATGATGAAATTGGGGGTTATAAAATTGATGAAAAAGTACTATTTCTTAGCGTAAAAATAGCAGTTTAAAATCACAAGATTCCAAGATAGCAGATTGGCAGACTATCAAATTTGAGCATCTTGTTCACTGAATCGCTCATAACCCAACAACTAGTCACCAAAATCCAATAGCACTTTAGGTAAAATTTCTCTTGGAACTATCTATCTATCTGAATGTGTAATAAAATACGAATTATTCCATTAAAAAGTACTAAAAATGGAGAATCTTGATATTACACGCCTTTTGATTATTAGTTGTTGAGCTATAGGGATTCAATGGACACCCAACTGTAATAGCCCGCCAGTCCGCCATTTTTAGTGACAGTAAATTCATATTCTACGGTTATAAAGTAACTTACTTATAAAAATCCTCAAAATGAGATATATATTTCATCTGCTACTCTTACACTGAAATACCTATTATAGTATTTAGTCATGCCATAATTTCATCTCCACAAATATCAGCTTGCAAACATGACCCTTTCACAAAATAAGTTGAGGTAGGACCATTTACTTCAAACAAGTCGCTGGTTTTTAACCTGATTTATTTTGCTACTTGGCTGTTTGAAATTCTCGTAGACTACTTCGACTGATTTGGTTTGAGTGATTTTTTATACTTTTTATATGGCTTTGTTAACCCCACAAACAACCACTTCCAAATTATAAGTTTAATAGCTAGTGTTGTGCAATGTTAACCTTTTCCTATTTTTTAAGAGGTAATGATTACAGATATGGTACAGTTAGGTAACTTAAGGAAATATAAATAAAACTATCATGTAAGCGTAGTTATTAGAAATTTACTTAACATTGTTAATTGTAGCATTTTAATATTTTTTAATAAACTAATGTATATACTTACAGAAAAGGATAATCCGTTTTGTAGTCGTATGACCCTATTTTTGTCAAAACATATCAAAAATGAAGGTACCATTTGGTGTTATAATGAACAATAAACGATTCTAATACGAGATGTTTTTTATTCCAAAAAATCCAGGAGAAAACTATGGTATCAAAATTTACTAAAAGTGAACAACACAGGCTGCCGACATAGAATCCGTAGTCCAAGACTCAAGTTTCCAAAATTTTCTAATCTAAAAGTGCAAAAGTAGCGTCTTTACTTAAATATTTTTTCTTTCGCTGAGATATGGCACTTTGAAATTTTCATTTTTCTGAGCGAAATCGGTTCAGCATTTATCAGAAGAAACTCGGTAAGAACGTTGAACTCGGCCTTGTGGCGATACAGGGTTTTCAGTTGTAAAACTTTATTTCATCAAAATACATTAACTTGTTATTCAATTTTTGGTGTATTATAATCCAAACCACAGTTTTGATGTTCACGTAATTATGACGTGTAGAGTACTAAATACAGTTAAATTAAGGAAGATTTCAAAGTGCCATATCTGAGGGAAAAAAGAAACTTACTTTGAGATGATGACAATGTTTCTTTGAGGAAAAAAATATTCATCATTCTATATAACTTCAAATATAGGCAAAAATCACTGTTTGCAGTTTCAGGTTAAGATATCTAAACTAGAGCCAACTGAGACATTTGCACATCAAAAATCTTCGGAAAAGTATACTCTGGTTTCTGATTAAAAATCCTGTCGGCCTGTGTAATTCACAAAGAAGCATAACCGGTGGTCTAGTCTATTCCGAAAAAGATGAGGTAAGGTATTTTTACTTAAGTTTTTGTTGAATCTTTAGTGTTCTGTTATTCTATTCCGTGTTTGATTGAACTGCCCACCTGTTAGAGTTAAATAGACCGTAAATTGGATATTGAAACAGAAATTGAAGTTACATGCCGTCATGCGCTGTCAAGTTGGTTGACTTATATCTCAGATATAATTGTTGTGACCGCATTTCTTAAATTTTAATTGAATTAGGGTTAAGCTTGATAATAAATATATAACACATGATCAGTCTACTTGACATAATTTTTTTATGTAGATTACATATCGGTATGTCTGTCTGTCTAGCGATTTTTATGCTCAAAAAGGTAAGAGTTATACTATTTGATTCCATAGTAAAATACATTTACTTACAGGTTCTCCATATATCCTAAGAAACCTTGGCTAAGTCATACATACTTGAAGGGCTTAGAGCAATAAGGTGCCTAAGTCATATTGACTTACCTATTCCCAGAAATCTAAAGATATGAGTAGCAAATCCTGAAACCGTGTATCCTGCTTAATTTCGATTGAAACCATACAATAGGTTTGCATTTTGAGGCACAAAGACTTGGTGACAACAGAATAAGAAAAGTATGACGGATTTTAGTAAAATAAGCTCATTTTTGAAAATAATATGACTTGATGCCATATTGAATAAAAAAGTTGTAGTCCAAGGGTGATTTAAGAATTGTTTATTTTATAAACATAATTGGGTGCTCGTTGTTAGACTTGAAACAGCACACTCCATTAAATTGGGCGGACTCCTTATCTACGTTAAAGTTCTTTTTCGTAACAGGTATGGAACCAAATGTATAATAGTAATGTTTTCCCTTAGGACTGTGTCAGAGGCGTTATCTATTTCAAAAAATTATGAATGTTCGTGAGGATTGAAGAAGATCGCAAGGCACACAGACAAATTTATTTGGGCACGAAGGGCATAAACTACTCATGACACAATTACATATACTTGTTACGTACTAAAGTTATTTGCTGATTACGATGTCTACAAAACATTTCCCAGTAAAGATAATGATGTACTGGCAAATATATGGTTTGAAGTCATTACGTAGTGGTATTGCGAAACTAATACAAAAACCAGCAGCAACTACATCTACGAGTATAACGGCTTAACGGCAGTAAAGTCATAAGCCATACATTTACTGATTCGCCATAGTTACTCGCTCAGAGTCACTATGTGAACTACTATCACTTAGAGGATAGCCTCTGTCCTTCACACTGTCATCTGAATTAAATCAGAAACCTGTATCATTGAAACATCCATTATTTGCACCATCCACTAATCGTCTGGCGCCCATCTTAGAATTTAAGTGGCTTATAATACCTTTCTTGTCGTAAAAAGGTGTGGGATATTGTTGTTGTTAGTTAGAAATTATAGCGTATTGCCCAAAAGCTCAACTTCTGACATAGGTAGTTACGCCACGGGTGCTTTTAGCTGGAAATGTATTTTATTCAGATGTGGCCTAGGTGTCTTATTGCTCCAAGCCTTTCATTTGGTCGGAACTTATCGTTTTGCAGGATATATGTTTTTAAGTAGAAAATCGGATAATGCTTTTTTCAGATGCAGTGATAGATAATAGATAAGGTTTCCACTTGTAAAATAAAACGGTTTGGAGTACAGCCTCTGATTACCATAGTCCAGTATGTCAGTAGTGATTAACATCCTGAGAAAGTGTAGTTATGTAGTTTTGTTGTTTTTTTTAGCAACTAAGGTAGAGTTTCAGATATCGGTATTGGTCATATAAATCAAAGAAGTGTTTTACTTGAAGCAGCAAAAAATTTAAGTTTGAGATATACATGGAAAATACCTCTGCCATAAGCGTTAGGCTTTGTATTGATAGGATTTAATATTTCAGTATGTCGTTAGTTTATTTAGATATGAAGTAGGTAATAGGAACTGGTACTCACAGAGAACCGGAAATTTTAGGACTTTAGTGTCAAATGTTCAGCCTATTTGACCTGTTTAAGTCAAAAAGATGGCACTGCATTCCACTTATTTACGCAGCATGCAAACCCAGTGAACATGACGTCATTATTCGGTCACTTTCGGTCGGAAACGTCATTGACTAAAAAATCACGTCTTTATTGACACCATTTTTATGACAATAACAAGACGTCCTTTTAAAGGCTATCATTTTGACATCATTTTTAGGACAGTCAATACTGAAACATCAACACGTACCTACAAAGAAAATATAGATTTTCAATGAGCAGTAAGGTAAACTAGATACATATCTAAATACTAATAACTACTTTGTTATTTATAAAAAAGTATCAGCAATTCTTCGACCATATTCAGATATTTTAAATTGTCATTTTACATCATTTGTTATTGAATCTCAATTCATTAGTAACTCCTCACACATAAGTATTCTGGCCTCCTGTGAAAAATCAAAGCGATTTTGATAAATTGCTCTCAGAGGCAGCAACACTAGGCAGCAGCGGTGGCCGCAGTAGTAGACTCTTCGGTCTCCTCATCAGTCACCGTGCGCTGTGCGGGTTCGAGTCCCGTCCCAGGAGAAATTTTTCTCTTGGCTATGGATGTTGTGATTGTCCGTAGGTGGTAGACGGTCTCTGACTGTCGAACGCGGAGGTACCACCCGGCGTATCTCGTAGGCGGGCCAGAATGTGTGCATGTTGCATGCACACGTGTTCCCTCGCCAGAGTCCGTGTGGCATTCCCCCCTTTCCCATGTCTCCCCCTATAGCCCCACGGTACCCAATGGGTGCTTAGGCCTTCGTGGTAGTTGAAGTATATAAAAAAAGAGGACTGGAACGTGTACGAGATCAAACGGTTTTTTTAGTTCTTTATTAGCCATTTTGATACACTTTGTACAAATTCTATGCTATGACGTCGTATAATGCCGTCAATTGGGTGTGATATTAGTCCGTCATAACGGCGTCACTTCATTTTTCTTGGTCGGCGTTCTTCAGTAGTGCCCTGAAAATGACGTCACTATGTTCACTGGGAAGGCTGGAAAGGATTTTGCTAAACTATATCGCACTGATGATTGCTAAAACGTATAAATTAACATTGAATATGGTTGATTACGGTCTCAGAGATAGAAAGCAAATAAAACCTTTTTAGCTACATTGTTTGTTGTCCATTAGGGTCGCAGGAAAGTAAACGTCAATTTGACATAGACGCCATCTTTGTTTTCTGTCACCGACCTGTCATTTTGTTAGTTGAATGTTTACCATTGATCGCTATGGAGTCGTATTCGATTGAAGACCGCATTAAAGTTATTCAAGAGCACTACAAAGATGGTGAAAAAATAAAAAACACGTTCCGCGCGCTTCGTGAACGTTTCGGTCGCAAGAACAGCCCAAACGAAACAACCATCGGTCGTCTGGTGCGTAACTTCGAGGCAACAGGTTCTGTGGCAAATCTGCCAGGCTCTGGCCGGCCAAGGAGCGTTCGCACACCGGAAAATATTGCTGTTGTGAAGGAGAGTGTGAGAGACGATCTGAAACAATCAACAACGCGTCGATCCCAAGAATTGGGCATTTCGAGAACCAGTTTGCTCCGCATTCTCCACAAGGATTTGAATGTACACGCCTACAAGATCCAATTGACGCAAGAGCTGCATCGGGCCGACCATTTTTCGCGCCGAACGTTCTCAGATTGGTTCCTTGAACACCGCCAAATTGATGCCAATTTTTCATCAAAAATCATGTTCAGTGACGAAGCGCATTTCACTTTGAATGGGACGGTAAATAAGTAAAACTGCCGCATCTGGGCGAATGAAAATCCCCGTGAGTATCAAGAGCAGCCGATGCATCCTCAAAAAGTGACTGTGTGGTGTGCATTGTGGTCAAAAGGCATCATCGGACCTTAATTTTTCGAAAATGCGGCCGGGGACGCCGTTACCGTCAATTCTGAGCGATATCACGTGATGATAGAGGACTATTTTTTGCCGCAACTTGAAGGAATGGATATGGACGATGTTTATTTCCAACAAGGCGGTGCAACATGCCACACAACCAACGTCAATATCCATCGATTGCAGTCCTTCTGTGATCGCGTGATTTCGCGCAGAGGAAATGTGCCATGGCCACCAAGATCGTGCGATTTGACTCCCTTGGACTTCTTTTTATGGGGATATTTGAAAAGCAAAGTCTACGTCAACAAACCAGCCACCCTCCAAGAACTCAAAAACAACATAAGTGCCGAGATAAATGCCATAGAACCGACCATGTTGCAAAATGTCATTGAAAATTTCGACCATCGCGGACGTCTGTAAATCCAGTCGTGGTGAACATTTGAG